TTGTTTGGATTTTATATTTACCGATAGATATCAATTTATTTGGATTTTTTTATTCATTTCATGTTTATTTTAAATCTTTACTCACGCTCATATGTTGATTATGCTCTTATATTTATTTATGAGCATATATTTTTATTGATAAATGATTAGTTATGGAGCCATTAATATCATATCAACTTTCTCTTTTCCTTACCTTTTGTTACATCTGAAAACTATTTGGTCTTCTAATTTTCATTTATTAATGCCTTTCATTTTGGAAGCAAGTGATAACTTGGTGGTCATCAGAATCACTTACACAATCACAATGTAAGTTACTTCATTCAATTATTAATCTAATTAATCTACATAAATAAAAAAAATTTACTAATGTAATTTAGAATATAGTGTATAGCATGTTGATGGGAAGATCAACGTATGAAAGGCATGCAACTAGCCAACCATATTAAACACCCATTTGTTCTTGCCCCAACAAGGTTTATATGTAGTGAAAGATATGAGATGCAAACTTTTTTGTCCCATCGATATCAGTCTCACTTCTTTTATTCATTATTATCTTCATGAGAATCTTTATCTGCACCTGTTTTTGTAACTGAGTCTTTAAATGTTGACAATGTAGTGGTTTCTAGTTTTAAAAGGCATGTGTGTGTATTTTATAGATTTTTTTTAAAAATAATCTAATTATTAAAAGTACAATGCTATTTCCAGCTTTTTATATACAAAAGAGGAAATAACATCATATTTTATTTGATCAGAATCCTATTTTAATTTTTTAAACATTAAAAAAACAATCATGTCTTTATGTTTAAGTGTGATTAAATAAGGATCAACACCTGATCATGACACCATAAAGCGTCTGTACACTTTCTGTTTCTTTGTGGTTCTCTCTATGTGTGTGTGACTTCAAATAATTAATAGGAATATTGTTGTTTAGTTTATTTGTTATAACATATTCTTTTACTTTTAAAATTAAACCCTTACATATACATTTGATTATGTTGCTTTCACCAGGTATAATATTGCTCTTACTAGCATCTAACATAATGTTTGAATTGATGGTTCACCATTCTTCATTCCACATAGTATTGCTAACGACCATCAACATAACTGCTTATTACTTTGCTACTATATTTCAAGTTGTCATTGGTAGACCAGATAGTCTGTATACATCATCTCTTTACATTCTAGTATTCAATATCTCTTTTCTCTTCACTTAAATCATACTTATCTTCGAAATTTATTCTCGAAGGTCGTGATTATCACGGCCCATTTAAGTTTACTTTTATATATATATATATATATATATATATATATATATATATATATTATATATATATATGAAAGTGCATTTTAAGTACAAAAAATCCGACAACATTAATCAAAAGGCAAAGGTGTTCATTTGCAAGAATTTTAATGTTTGCCTTTTATGAATTATAAATTTAGAAATAAAATCAAAGTGAAACTATAAAATTAAAAAACTAAAATTGATATTATAATTATCATATTTTTCATTTTATATATATATATATATATATATATATATATATATATATATATATATATATATATATATATATATATATATATATATATATATATATATAGGTAAAAGTTCAAATGAGAACCCTTAAAGGTTAATAACCCTAAGAACCTCTAATTTTGAACTTAACATCAAAATGAAAACTTAAACTACAAAATAAGATCTGAGTTATTTTTCATGCATCCAAACACTCCCACTCACCTTTAAAAGCTAAAACACAAACCCTCCATCTATCTTCATCAACTACCACCGTCGCTGCCACATATCGGCACCGCCGCCGTTGACCGACGTCGGTTCCGGCCATCGTCATATTCATATTCCAGCATCAGATTTTTCTCTTTATTTTTTAGTGAAACACCACCAGATCTGGTGTGTTCGATGCATTTCAAGTCTAGATCTACTCCATTACCACATCAGATCTTCTCCACTACTGATTTTTGCCACCATTGATGTTCAGATCTGTGAGTTTTGATGACATATCTTCATCTAGCCTCTATCTTTTTTTCTCTCGATCTCCATGAAAGACCACCAAATCTGTTCAGATCTAGTCCACCACCACCTCTACCAACCATAGATGTATGTCTTCAACCTCCAAAATCCTTTGCTTTCATTAGATCTGAAGCGATTCAGTCCATATCTATGATCTCCAAAGTTAGATCTATGATTTTCGACAACAGATCTATGATTTTCGCTTATGGATCTATGACTTATGCCTTTAGTTCTACGACTTCTGACGAGATTGATGAACTAGAACTGAGATCGATGTCAGCTGCCACCATAACTACTACCTTTCCGCTCCGGTGTAGCACCACCAACTCAGCTCCATCTTTTTTTCTCCGATCTTTAGTGAAACAACACCATATTTGCATTAGGTATTTCGAATTTTTATTTGATTGTTTTTTCTTATGTTAAACTGTGAATATGATATTTTACTTCATTTTTGTTGTTTACTATTTATAATATTTGTTTTAACAACTATAAATTGTGAATTCATTGTTATTAAGCTGTAAATCTATTGTTAAAATGTTATGAATCTAAGTTTGTTTTCTTAATTCTTATAATAATTTCATAAAATATTAAGTTGTGAATCCACTGTTAGTTGTGAATGCATGATCTTTTTTTAGAAATATTAAGTTGTAATGCATGATCTTTTATAAGTTTTAGCTATGATTAAAAGATTTATTTATAAGTTTTAAACATTAAATGCATGGAGTTTTATAAGTTTAATATGAATTTAGAATGTGTTTTTATTATATTCTTTTATCAAATAATATAATTTTTACGTTTTTAAGGCGTGAATTGTGATGAGTATCGAACTGGTATCTAATACAACCTCCAAGGCTCCAAACATCACCAGATGTAAGTTTTAACATGTGAATGTATTTTATTAAACTATGAATTTGTGCATTAAATTGTTAATTAAATGTATTAAGTTATGAATTGATTATATTAAGCTGTGATTTTTTATGAATTTTGTGTTAAAATACAAATGTTTGTATTAATTTTCTTGTTAGCATGTTTTTGTGGCATAAATATGTAAAAATGTATTGGTTTTTATAATTGTTGCATAAAACTCAAAATTAGTGAATTAATATGTTTATTAAACTGTAAATATAATATTTAACTTGACAATGCATTATTATGCCTTTTATTAAACTGTGAATTTGTGTATTAAACTGTGAATTAAATGTATTAATTTATGAATTATTTGTATTAAATTGTAATGTTTTTTATGAATTTTGTGTTAAAACAATAAAGAACATGATAAACCCAAAAAAACTAACATGGTGGAACTAAGTCCAATTAGAGGTGAACATTTGGACCGGACTAGTTTGACAAAAATTGGTAAACCTTGGATCGGACCTGTTGAGGCTTATCGAGTCCAAATCTAGGTCCGGTTCCAAGTTCTTGGACATAGGGGTGAGCATTTGATCTGAACCAGACCAGACCAGTTTGACAAAAATTAGTGGACCTTAGACTAGACTTGTTGAGGCTTATCAGGTCTAGATCCAAGTTCGATTCCCGGTCCAGTCCAATTCAAAGATTCAAATGCTATTCCTAAGTCCAACTCCTTACTGCCAATAGATTTTACTATGTTAGAATTTTGCTTGAATGCTCGTAGATTTATTCTTATCTTTCACCTTCTTATTCTTTCAGTGATATTTTGTTAATTTCTATTTTGTTACAAATGCATTTTTAATATTTATATATTATAAATTATATCAAACTTTCGTGTAGGAAATAGACATGTAACAAACATTTAAAGAATATTCTAACTATGAAAAAATAGTTAATTGAAACTCTTAATAAAAATATCTATAAATAAACATTATGAAAATATAAACATTGTATTTAGTATTATAGAATTGCACTTCTAATTTTGTCTTATAAATGTATAATATCTTAATTTTGTTTCTAAGTATCTATATAGATTTAAAGTTTCAGTTTTTTCTTTTACACAAATTATATTTTAAGATATTGCGGTTTGCAGGGGTCTATTCTTTGGGGACCTTCAATGGCAGCTGGCTTCGTTACCAATTAGGTTTGGTGGTTAGGGGTTGTACTCAGCAGTAGAGGCTTCCTCCTATGCTTTTGTGGCCTCACGAGCTCAATTGTGGGTGTTACAAGACCACATCTTACGAAATAGCAACATATGTGGTATGGATTCAAATTATGTGTGTGCTTTGGCCTGTCTTCATGATACGATTCCGGGCTTTGACTTCAGCGGTTTCACTAATACGGACACCGCCCATCCAAAAGCCTAACATTCATTGGCAAGTGCCCTTTTTAGTAAAACTGTCCAAGACATGGAAGTTCACTTCGACATAACGATTAGGCAGAAAGCAAATTTTGAGTATCTAAGGTCCCCACATACTCAGGATTTTCTTATGACTATTCCTTTTGACGGTCTTGGCAAGCATATGTCGTCAGTGGAGTATCGTGTCATCCTCAAGTGTCGCCTTATGATCCCTTTATTTCCAGCTGACGAGACTTGCCCTGTTTGTCGCAAGACATGTATGGACTCCTTTGGGGAGCATGCAGTTCATTGTAAAGAGCTCACATGTTTTAAGTATCGACACGATCTGGTTAGGGATGTTCTTTTTGACATATTTAGGCACGCCGAGATTTCTGTCAAGAATGATGTCCATGTGAACTTTCTAACTGACCCATTGGAAGGAAGATCAACACTTAGACCAGCTGATGTTTTAGTATTTGGATGGGTTGGAGGAAAACATGCATGCGTGGATATAACATGGATTTCCTTTTTTGTGGGCTTTGGGAGTGGAGTTTTCACTGTGGGGCAAACTGCTTTAAAAGCTGCATCAAACAAAGTGGCAAAACATGAGAAAACTATGTCGCTACTCAATAGAGTCTAACGGGTCACACATAGTAATGTTATGACTCCAAAATCTATAGATGATATTTTTAAAAGAATTAGTTTTGACATCAAAAAGGATTACAACACAGTTTATTGCTCGTTAAGGGATTAAGAGGTTAAAGCAACATAAAATTTGTAGGTAGATTGTGCAATCATACCTAATATACAAGCCCAATATATAATTATCTATTTTTCTGGAAAAATGGCAAGACTCACGCAAATTCTATTTATAGAAATATATTATTATCTATTAGTAATGGAATAGAGAATATCACTATATCCGGAGAACGAGATGCAATCGCTTAAACAAATATCTACTCTCAGCAACAGATCGGAAGTTCAGTTTCTAACCTTAATGGCTCAAGAAGACCACCAATCTCCGCCGTATCTCGGTCAAGTACTAGTCATACGTCCACCGCCTGTCTTTTCTGTCCACGAACAATACATCTCGAGTAAATTCCAGATCTTGAAAGCATACGAATCACCATTACCTACTCACGATTTCCTCCAAACCTATGCGCGGTCCGTCAAAGTCGTCCTATGCTCCGCCGGGAGTCCGATCACAGCCGACGTGTTACATGACCTTCCAGCCCTCCAACTTGTTGTCTCCTCCACTACCGGCGTCAACCACATTGACATGGCAGAGTGTCGCCGGCGCGGAATTAGAGTCACTAACACCGGAGATTTGTTTTCGGATGATGTAGCTGACGGCGCCGTTGGACTTTTGATCGACGTCATGAGGAGAATTTCTGCCGGCGATAGATTTGTTCGCGGCGGTCGTTGGCCTGCCTTATCGGAGTATCCTCTTGGTTCTAAGGTTAGTAATTATTACAACGTTTTTTTCCTCAAACTTTTGGTAACACGCTATTTCAAGTTTTGATTTTAAATTTTTATTAAGTTCAATTATCGATCATGGGTTGTTTTTTTTTTTTCTTCTGAATTTATGCTACATAATTGGCTTTTATATAAAGTTTACACCATCGTTCATTTTATGATTAGAAGATGCCACACTTTGAAAAGAAAATATAAATTAATATTAAGAAAAATGAATTACTCATTGATTGATTTGATTTTTGATTGTTTGGTTTCAGTTAGGAGGCAAGAGAGTTGGGATTGTTGGGCTTGGAAACATTGGGTCAAGTGTGGCCACAAGACTAGAGGCCATGGGCTGCATGGTCTCTTACACCTCAAGGCATAAAAAAGACTCCACACACTACACTTTTTATCCAAATGTCCTCCAACTCGCTTTCAATTCAGATGCGCTCATTATCTGTTGTGCGTTGACCAATGACACACGTCACATGATCAACAACACAGTCTTGAGGGCATTAGGAAAAACAGGAGTGATTGTGAATGTAGCACGTGGGGCTATCATTGACGAAGTGGAATTGGTGGAGTGTTTGGTTGAAGGTGAGGTTGGTGGTGCAGGTTTGGATGTGTTTGAGAAGGAACCAAAAGTACCAAATGAGTTGTTTGAATTGGATAATGTCGTGCTTTCGTCCCACAGTACTGCGTGCACAAGAGAATGCTTTTATGATGCTGCCCAAACTGTGGTAGCTAATTTGGAAGCGTTTTTCATGAGCAAACCCTTGCTTACTCCTGTATCCTAGTCTTATAGTTTGCACTTCGCTAGCGAATTTCCATTTGGTTTCGATATAATAAATGTTCTAACCTTTTCTTTTTGCATATAATTACAATTCAACCTTCTCACGTGGGAGGGCGTTAAAAAGCAGGTTACATAACTTTAAATATCAAATATTGAGTGTATATGCTACAAGACGTTTTGTTTTATGTATTTATACTTAAATAAAATGAAAATAAACGTATTTTAGAATTCGATCCTCAAGTTGAAAATGTCAACAGTTGATCTTCAAGCTGTTGTTTTATCTTCTGGAGCCTAAATGAAACTCTTGGTATCATCATACTAGAGTACTTGTGGCTTTCAACAAAGAAAGTACTCTTTATTTTGAATGATCTATAAAACGTATGATGATATCATCTTCTTTGTTTATGTTGTTACAAGAATCTATATTCTATTTGTGACCAACTTTTAAGTAATCAAATATATGATATTTGTAACATTGTTACTTTTAGTAAGTTACATTTATTTTGTCATTTTAGAATTACATGTAGAGAACTTATAAAACAATAACATGTTTTAATTTTATAAAATCCAGTATCAAGTCAATATTGCAATGTAATAAGTTAATTTTTATGAGTTTTCAATGCAAAATTACATGTTTAGTCTATAAAATCACTACAATATATTGATAACTTTCATTTGGTCCAACTGTAAGTTTTATTCATCTTGTATGTTATGGGATAATTTACATATTCACTAATCAATAAAAATGTAAATTAAACTCTATATTAGGTAAAATGTTGTATCGAATCATAATTTAATAACTAGTTTATATTGAAAATTCTAGTAATAACTAGTTTAGTAGTATTGTTGGGAGGAAGATGTGGAAAATTATACTAATATGGATGAAGTTATTTCTATTCTATTCCTATACATGATACTATTCATCTAATAACAGTAAAAATGAGTTTCTAATCTAGAACACCCATATTATCATGAGAAAGATTCACATAATATTATACTTATTCTAGTAAAATCTTTTTATTGCATTATTATGATAAAGGTTGTTGCAACATCTCGGTTTGTTATACTAGTTATTATATAATCGGGGGAATGTTTAGAAGAACGTGTATTACTCATGGGTACTAGTTATTAAGTTTAGATAGTTATATATGATAATCAAATTGAAATTTATTGGATTGTTAAATCGAAAAAAAAAAAAAAAAAAGGATAAATGTGATGTACTTTTTCAGGTCGATTTATATTCACGAACAATACATCTTAGAGCGAGTTTTATGTGGTTGCTTAGAAATAGTGTAGGATTTATGTATGTTCGCTGTTAAAAAAAATGATTGTTTATACATTATTTCTTTATATTATTGATATCATATAGTAAACAATTAATATAATTATAACATAGCAATATATCTAAATATCAAATTATTAATTATTGATAATCAGATCGATTCCAGATTAGAAGATTTATTAAATAAGTTGGGCCTGTACTTAATTTTATTTGGCCCATAATGTTAGAATAGAATTCTTAAGACACGAAGCTTTTCCAAAGAGCAGAGACGACTACACAATGCTACGCGGAATTTGAAATATTTCAGACACACACTCTCATTACACGAGCGGAATTGCTTCTCTTCTTTGTCACTAGCTACGCTTATAGCTCTGATAATCTCCCACAATTCCGGCATCTCATTTTGCAACTTCTGGCCCTTTCACACTGGTATGTTAAACTCTTCTATTCTTATCAACTAATCGCTTCTTTCTAGCTCTAGCATATAGTCGTGATTTGGCGACTTTAGTTTTAAATCGATGTAGTTAGCGAGACTATTGAAATTATTGTGTTAGTATTGATCAGAATTGTGATATTTCTGCCTATATTCTATTTCAACGATGGTTAATTGTTACATTTTCTGTAGTCCTTGTGATTTAGGGCGATTTTTTCGACAATATAATGAAAAATTGACAGCACCTGGTTTGGTTTGCTTATTTTTTAGTCTTAGATTTCCTTTTCTATCTCCCTCCTACTGCTATTGCCTATTGGTGTGTGAATTTACAATGTCTATGGCTTATTTTCAAGAAAACTGTTGGTGATTTAATATCATCAATTTTAAGTGTAATAGGATTAAATTTATTGACCAAAAGAGATCTTGTTGAATATTGAACAAGTTAGGATGATGTAGGAGTGCACTCTTGTTCAAGTTTTCAAGATTCAAAATACACTGTTATTTAGGGGTGAAGCCCCTAAATGAACGGGGGTTCAGGGGCAGCGCCCCTGGGAGTGGGGTCCAACCTAGCGGGGTCCAAGCAGCAAATCCCCTGGCTCGTCGAAAATCCGATTTTTAGAAAGTCAACCATTTTCCCTAAGATTTGTTTATGACAGGTTTGTTAGTTTTTTATGACAGTTCGTAACTGTATTGTGACAGTTTTTAGATAAGAATCATATAGTTGTTTTTGTTCATTTTCTAATATAATTTTGAAGAGCATTTCACATACATTCTCTGATTTCGTATCTCTAAATTTCATCCAATTGAGTATTCGATATGTGCCATTGAAATACTTCAATTTGATAGTGAATTACGAATTTCAGAGAATCCAAGCAATCTGTTCATCCATTATTTCTAATAAAAACAAACTTAATTACTGTAAATTTTGCAGGATTGTTAAGTGGCAAGACTTGTGTTAGACTTCAAGCTGCTTAGGGAAAATATCTAATTAAGTGTGTTTTACAAAAAAAAAAAAAAAAAAAAAAATGTCCAAGATAGGACTGTAGGTGGTTCTATGGTTTATAGATTTATCATTTCGACCTGCTCTGATCATTTACAATGCATTAAGTTCATTGTTTTCTATGTCTTTCTTCGAGGGATGTAAATCATTAGTGTGTTCCATGCAAGTTTATGTTTATAAATAACACTTAGAGGTTTCATGTTCTTGTTATTGGCAAATAAAACATATTAACTATGTTTATTTACATTGAATAGTTAGTGTGCGAATGCTTTTCCTTTGCGATATGTAATACAAATTACATGTCCAGTGATTGGTAATTGATATATATTATGGATACGTTTTTATCTTGAGGTATAGAAAAAGCATTTAGGTAACTAGGTTTGTTTGATATATTTGTTACTACTCTATTCATTTCTACTACAGTATGTTGACTAAGTTATTGTAAGTAATATTGAGATTTAGTTGCTCTGTACATGTTGCAACTACCTACGATGACATTGTCATCCATATCAAAATCGAAATGAAGAAAACAAAAGGTGAAACAAAAGGAAAGGAATTGGTTAGAGCTCCCATATGATGTAATGCCTAATATTCTATAGAGAGTTGGTTTTTTTGACAAACTTAAGAATGTGCAAAAAGTCTGTACGAGTTGGCATACAATCTGCAAGGACCCTGTCATGTGGAGAGTTATAGATCATTCGTTTATATACGACATCTTGCCCGAACGCCATCTTGTAACACAATTGTTGAAGGTCATCACTAGCCCGATGGAGCTTAATAGAGTTTATTCCCTTATAAAAAATGTTATAATGTTTTAGAATGATCTAGAATATTCTAGAATATAATGAAAGCCTATGGAATATTCTAGAACATACAAGAAGACTCAAGAATATTATAGAATGAGATGAATGACACTAGAATGTTATGGAACGTTATAGAAGACCATGGAAGACACAAGAATGTCCTAGACTTATCTAAGAAATTATAGAACATTCTAGAAACATATATAAGCAAGTAATAGATATAGATTATGGTAGAAGATTCTAGAATAGTCATGAACGTATATAGCTTGTAGGAAGATCTAGAAACTTCCTATAAGGAGGTGGAAACACCTATAAAAAAGTGTGCAACTCATTTTCTTCAAAACAATCCTAACATCCAAGTATCCAAGAAAAGCCTCAAAGAAAGTAAAGGGTAGTAGTCTCTAAAATTGTAAATTCTTCTTAGGCGTCTTAATAAAAGTATTATTATTTCTCATATAAAGAGTTGTGTTCAATAATCTGGTATCAGAGCAAGGTATCTTGATAGTGAGAATGAGTGATTCTCTTTGTATCATGAGTAGTTTGTGACTCTGCAAGTTTAGTGTCACACCCCCAAACCAAGGATGGCGGAAACGTCTGGGGGTGGAGGACTTCATGTATAGTATCACAACAACGTGTATAATAGTGCTCAAAGTAAAAACAACCACCATATATATAATTGCAAAAGTTACACCAAAGTATATGTTTACATGTTTCAAAAGCAATTACATTATGATGACAAAATAATTTGTTGACGGTTTAGCGTCCCATCCTCAAAGCGATGAAGTTTTCCTGTTTCACTGATTTCCTGAGAATACAAGTAGTTTTAAAAGAGTGTCAACACAAAGGTTGGTGAGTTCATAAGAGTTTTGTTTGAAGTAGAAACCGTTTTTCCTTGTAAAATCGATTTAGTTTGATTTCCAGAAAATCCAATATTTTCTTAGTTAAGTATGAATAGAAATAATCCTACATGATGCTGTAATGAACCCTAGAGTAATCCGTAGAGTTCCTCTATAATCGTCCAACATATAAAGTTATATAAGGCTTAACTTAGATAAAACGTTGAATATAGTGGGTCTGCCCTAGGTCCACAACCCAACGAGGAACAGGAGATGAGGCGGGCACCACCAATTCTAGGCCAATCAAGACTAAATTCTTATATGACTCAACATATACGCTCAGCGACTATAGTTGAAGTCTAACAATTTTAGAGGATGTGTAGTTTTAATATCATAATAGCTTTGTATAGAGACCCGACACTTTGTATTTGTACCCATAGAGATAAAAGGTGATTTTAAATCGACATAAAACTCATTTAGGTTTTAAAAATAAAATCCCGTAAACTTATGGATTGTTCCCTATGTGAGCCGTTATAATCATACTATGACTATGTGAACCTGCCACGACGTTCTCAGTGTCGCGAAAAATGAAATGACATTTGTCACCCGTAGACCTGCAGGTCCAACTGTAGCTAGCAGCAAGGTGTGGGGTGTCAATCCCAATATAGATCTATATACAAGTATCACGTTCTCCCTCAAGGAGATTCTGATTATAACTACCAGGAATTATATCCCGCACTCGGACGTACGGGGAGATAGAGAGATAGAGATCGAAAAAAATAGAGAAACTCACAATATAGGATAACAAGTTTACGATAATTGTGTGTGAATATAAATATTTCTTGTATGAATGTACCTTTCTTGTACGAGTGCGTAGAGTGATGTATCATAAACTATACCTATTATAGTTTATCTAAAATGTATGTACTATGTATGAACCCTTTTTATGGAAATGTAACTAGTGTTGTGAATTTATCAAAACATAGATTAACTTTCGTGAAATGTGTGCGAATAGAAATCTTTCTTGTATGAATGTACCCTTCTTGTACGAGTGCGTAGAGTGATATATCATAAACTATACCTGTTATAGTTTATCTAAA